CTCATTCTTCTTCTTCTTCTTCTTCTAGTCCGTGTTGTTATTGTCGTCATCATCATTATTGTTGTTGTTCGTATAATGTTGTTGTTGTTGTTATTCTTGTTCTTCTTGTTGTTTTCGTCATCATTGTTGTTGTTGTTGTTATTACCATGTTGACTTTATTGATATTGTTGTTGTTGATGATAATGATGATGTTGTCATCGTTGTTTTTGTCATTGTGATCATTTTAGTGTTGTTGTTGTTTCTGTTGTTGTTGTTGTTGTTGTTGTTGTTGTTGTTATCATCGTTGTTGTTGTTGTCCTTGTTACCTAAAGATTTCGTCGAAGTTGTTTTTGATAGTGATGTTGTTGTCATGGTGTTGTTGTTGCTTTTGCTGTTTTTGCAATTGTTGTCATTATTGTTGTTGAAGAAGTGGTGGTGGTTTTCATGGGAGCGGTACATAGTTGGTTTGGTTGGGGTTTTTTAATTATTTTTTTCTGGGTTTTTTTTTGTTGGTATTGATGATTGTAGTTTGATATGTTGTAGCAGTTTGATTTAACTAAGTGTTGCTGTGATAGCTGCTATGGTTGTTGTTGTTGTTGTTGTTGTTGCTATCGATCCAGCAACATTTGGGCTCTCGCCCTTCTGTCCAATGCCATTTAGTGATAAGTGCGGGTTTGCTGCAGTTGCTGTAATGTTCCGAAGAGTGTGTTGTCGAAGTTTGGTCTCGGAGGGAGAAGGGTAGCTGTTATGGTAATGTTGATGACTCTTTTTTCGTTTGTAGTTGTTTTTCTCAGTGGTGATATGGTAAGGAGATTGGTCGGTGATGAAAGAGGCGTAAATCAATACGTAAATATGAACGGGCGGTTGGGGGAGGGGTGCCACAGGTAGGTCCTACTTCTTCATTTTCCCTCTGTTTTTTGTTTGGGTTTTTTTGTCTGTCTTACTTTTTCCCAGCCCTAAATGACCATGATTGTGCTTCTCTTTACTCAAACAAACGGCGTTGGTGGCCTAGTGGTCAGGCTTCCGGACTCGTAATCGTGAGACTGCAGTTTCGGAGGTTCGAGCCTCAGCTCGGTCCGACATTGTGTCCTTGCGAAAGGCACTTTACACGAATTTCCCACTTGGCTGGGTCCTTTCAGAGATGGATGTTTATGTCGGAGGTCCCGCCTCATAAATAACCTAACAGTGTTTATGTGGGTGGTTGGTGGGTGCTCGGATGTGGTTTGCTCCTTCTTTCCTATCAAGCATCTATCATCCTGATCTCTCCTCCTTCTTGTTTGTGTTTGTAACTCCCTTGTAAACACCTCTAATCTTCGGCACTAATATGACCTTATTGTGTTGCAACTGCCGTAAAACCGTTACTAAAACTAAAAATCTCTCCTCCTTTTTGTGTATGTTACTCTCTTGTGGTACATCTATTCTCCAGCCCTTGTAGGACCTTATTGTGTTGCAAGTGCCGTAAAACTCTTACGAAAAAAAAGCAAACAAAACAAACGAACATTATATGAATCATCAAAAGTTCTCCCCTGTATTTGTGTTTGTGTTTGTGTCTCAGGTCCGACAACTCCAGATGGGCTCGCTGCCGGAACAAGTGAACGCCCTCACAGAGCTCAATGTTCTGATGGAGCAGGCCTGGTCTATGCCCATATATGGTGCGTTCCCTCTCTTTTGTGTTGATATTGTTGTAGGTGATATTATTCACGATGATGATGATGATGACGATGATGATGATGTCGTTGTTATCATCATCATCATCATCATCATCATCATCATCATCATCATCATCATCATCATCCTCATCATGTTTTAAAGTAGAAAAAAAATATACTTGAGACTTGAATAGGGTTGGTGTCATTTAATCAGATGTTCATATAGGCCCGGATGTTCAACGTTTCGCCTATAAGGCTTCATCAGGAACATAGTATCTGAGAAAAAAATGAGTGATGACGCTATAGCAACCCAGCGTTCACTACAAGTTACGTATTGGTACGATTTGGACAATATCGGAAAGAGCCGAAGCTCTGAAAAAGAAAAGCTAAGTCGTTACTGCCATGGTCCTGGCTGAGCGTATAGATATGTTAAAATTGATCACACATGGTGTTTAAAGCTCACGCAGAACTGGGACAAATTAAATTTGGAAAAAGGGGGAGGGGGGGGTAGATGGAGATCATCATCACCATCATCACCATTCTGTAAGCTGTACATTATTATTATTATTATTATTATTATTATTATTACTATTATTATCAATATCATCATCTTCACCATCCTTTCAGGCAAAGACCTGGCCTATGAGCTGTGTGATATCCTGCGGACGGAGAGTGCCCTGGACATCATAGTTGGGAACCTGGCATCCTGTAACAGGGACCTGATGAAGGTGTCGGCTCGCTTGTTGGAACAGTCACTGACCACCACTAATAGGTAGGTGGGATCTTTGGGACGGTCTAGTGACCCGTCACTGCGCTAGCGAAATGGCACAACTCATTTTTACTACTTTTCGGATAAAAGGGAAAACTGTTTAACTAGACTATTAAAATTTATCTATATAATATACTTGTGAAAGCTCATCACTTTGGTTGCCTAAAACTTCCAAATCACTTAACTTTTGAATTCGAAAAAACTAACGGTGGTTCAGAATCATTTAAAGGTTGCACAGCTATATCAAGGAGTCTGAAGCCATTGTAGTTTAATTTTCAGTTTTTCGTTAGTTTTGTTTAGATCTAATCTTGGGAAAGTTCATCTTCTAAGACGCCATTGTAAAGAAGAGAGGCCTCCGTTCACAAACAGTGCGCCCTGATTCCACATTGACTTGACGATCAATTCTACCACCGCATAATATCTGTTTTGGTTTTACCAAAAGATAGACATAGTTTCACCAATCAAAATAAAAGGCGAGTTCCATTTTGGAACAACTCTAAGTTATGCCATTTTGCTAGCGCAATTGGTGGTTTTGTCGTTGTTGTTGTGTGTGAGTACCTATGTGTGCGTGTGTGTTTATGTGCCTGCATGCGCCCTTGTATTTGTGTGAGTGCGTGCATGCACGGGTGCGTGAATGCATGCGTGCGTGTGTGTGTGTGGCCTACGGATTTAGATGACCTTATTGTGTTGCAAGTGTTAAAACTTTTACTAAAACAAAACAAACTAGCTTAGTCCTTGCACTAAATGACCATTTTCTTTTCCTTGTGCCTCTGATTAATCAACAACAAAAATCCAACTCCCTCCTTCTTTCTTTTCTATCAAACATCTCTCGTCCTTATCTCCCCTTCTTCTTTTTATGTTTGTTACTCTCTTGTAACACCTCTAATCTTCTGGCGCTCATATGACCTTATGCAGTTGCGAGCTCCGTAAAACCTTTACTAAAACTAAATACACTAAATGACTGTTATCGTATCCTTGTGCCTCTGTTTATTCAAAAAAATTCTGATTCCCTCCTTCCATTCTTTTCAGACGCCGTGTGGCAGAGAACGGCCTTGAACTTGTGGTCAAGATGACCCATGACGTGCGTGGAGATTGTGAGCTGGCCCAGACATCCACGGGGATCCTAGAAAGTCTGTTCAAAACCTCGGAAGATACTTGCTCTCGTGTCATCAAACTGGGAGGCTTGGACGTCATCACATACTGGTGCCGTTGTCAGGTCAGGGGTGTGTCTGTTTGTCTGTCTGTCTGTCTGTTTGTCTATCTGCCTGTCTATGTGTGTCAGTTTGTCTGTCTGTCACGGGGATCCTGGAAAGTCTGTTCAAAACCTCGGAGGGCTCATGCTCCCGCGTCATCAAATTGGGCAATCTGGACGTGGTCACCTACTGGTGTTATTGTCCGGTCAGGGTCATGTCTGTTTGTATGTCTGTCTGTCTGTCTGTGTGTATGTGTGTGTGTGTGCCTGGCTGTCTGGCTGCCAGTCTGGCTGGCTGCCTTCCTACCTGGCTGTCTCTGTCTCTGTATCTCTCTCTCTCTCTCTCTCTCTCTCTTGCTCATAGCAGTTTTGGGGGTTTTTTTGTTTGGGGGAAGGTTGGTGTGATTTGTGAGGGGTTTTTTGTGTTTCTTTTTTGTTGTTTTGTTTGGGGGGTTTTTGTTATGGAATTTACCCATTCATTTTGCTTTTTAATTCCTTCTTTTATTGATTGCTTGTTTCTTCACAGGACCGGATAACCCTCAAAAACTGCGCCATTGCCCTGTCTAACCTTGCGCTGTACGGAGGGGGAGAGAACCAACAAGAGATGGCCAAACACCGCGTCCCAGAGTGGTTATTCCCCTTGGCCTTCGTGGAAGACGACAGCGTCCGCTACTACGCTCTCCTCGCCATCGGAGTCCTGGTCTCCAACAAAGAGATTGAGAACGCCGTCATGTCTTCGGGGACGTTAGCTCTGGTGTTGCCTTTTGTTGACTCACATGACCCCGCAGAGTTCGGACAACAGGACACGTCACACCGGCACGGCCGGTCGCCTGGTTGGCTCAAGCGGCTGATTCCCGTCTTGTCCAGCAAGAGGGAGGAGGCTCAGGCATTAGCGGCCTTTCATTTTGTCATGGAGGCTGGGATCAAATCCCAGCAGGGGCGGAAGGAGGTTGGTTGGCGGGTGCTCTGGGTGGTTTGCTTCTTCTTTGCTATCAAAAGGCTATCGTCTTTATCTCCCCTCCTTCTTTTTTATGTTTGTTACTCTCTTGCAATACCTTTAATCTTCAGTACTTATATGACCTTATTGTGTTGCAAGTGCCGTAAAACAATTACTAAAATGGAGGTTGGTTGCTTCGCGTGATGGTATTGTTGCTTTTTATTGTTGTTTGTTGTTGTTTTTTGTTGTTGTTGTTTGTTGCTGTTGTTTTCTTAAGAGTTTGGTTGGAGGGTGTGGTTGTTTTGTTTTTATCTTGCTTGGAGAGGGGTGTTTTTGATTGTTGTTGTTTTGTTTGTTTGTTTGGGGGGGAGGTAATTGGTTTGTTTTGTTTTGTCTGTTAATTTTATTTAGTTTGCTTGATTTTTTGTGTTCGGTTAAATTTTTTATTTTTCGGGGGGTTTTATGGGTTTTTGGGGTTTTTTTGGTAGCACAGTAAAAAGGTGGATGGTCAGTGGGGTTTGTCCTTGAGCAAGACAAGACAAATTTAGCTCAAATTTATAAACTTATGTGTAATTACAATTTACCAGCATCTGTGGTGTAACAGTAGGGCATTTCACCATGGTACGCAGAAGATATGAGTTTGGTTCCTAAGTGGGGAATGTGTTTATAAATCCAGTAGCTTCGTGGGTGGTTGGTGGGTGCTCTGGTGTGGTTGTTCCTTCTTTCCTATCAAACATCTATCATCTGTATCTCCCCTACTTCTTTTTTGTGTTTGTTAAACCCTTGTAACACCTCTAATCTTATATGACCTTATTGTGTCTTACGGGAAAAAAAAGACAGACGGAGCTGGCCTGGACAGGCTAAATCAAAACAGCCAGCCTCTTGAATGATTAAAATTGTGTCGATGGTTGATGTGATACATCTACAGTCATAATTCTATATAACATAAAGAAGTCTTAAAAATAACCCACATCCTTTTACAATCACAATTCTATATAATGAAATTAAAACTTTATATAACATGAAGAGTCTTACAAATAACCCACATCCATCCCCAGGTTCTATACACAATTCTATATAACATAGGCCCAATAAAGAGTCTTTAAAAGAACCCACCTCCATCCCCTCTACAACCACAATTCTAAATAACATAAAGAGTTACAAATAACCCACCTCCATGCACAGGTTCTATACACATTTCTATATAACATAAAAAGTCTTACAAATAACCCACATCCATCTCCTCTACAACCATAATTCTATATAATAAGAATAAAACTCTATATAAGATAAACGATTCTTACAAATAACCACACTTCCATCCCTAGGTTTTATACACAATTCTATATAACATAATCTTACAAATAATCTACATCAATCCCTTCTACTTCCACATTCACAATTCTGTATATAAAAAATAAAACTCTATATGATAGGAAGAGTCTTACAAATAACCCACATCCATCCTTTCTGCTTCTACAATAACAATTCCATATAACATAAAGCATCTTACAAATAACCTCACGTCCATCCCCAGGTCCTCTACAACATCGGGGCTGTTGACCCACTCAAGTGGCTGGCCAGTACTCCCAACAGAGTGGCGTCCAAACTGGCAGCTCAGGCCCTGAAGATCATAGGGGAGGAGGTGCCGCACAAGTTGTCCCAGCAGGTTCCTCTCTGGACGTGTGACGATGTGGCGCACTGGATCACACAGGTGCTTGTTTGGTTGTTTGTTTGTTTGTTTGTTTGGCTGGTTGGTTGTTTATGGCGTCGTTGGCCTAGTGGTTGGGCTACTGGACTCGTATTCGTGAGGTTGCGAGTTCGGGGGTTCGAGCCACGGGCCCGATTTTGTGTCCTTGGGAAAGGCACTTTACATGAATTTTCCTCACTTCACCCAGGTGGGAATGGGCAACCGGCCATAGACAGCGAAAGATCTTGTCAGTATGTTTGTGTTTTAGCGCCTATAAATGGCAGCTTTTACTGTATGCTTCTCGGGAAGTTGAGGTTGTTTCAGAATGCTCTCGGGTCTGCAGGGGTAGTAGTATAGATGTTATTAATTGTTATTATTATAATCTTTGTTTGTTTGTTTGTTTGTTTTTGTGATTGTCCATCTGTATGCTTCTTAGGAAGTTGAGATAGTTTCAGAACTATCATTTTTTAGGGGGAGGGGGGGAGTGTTTTTACAGCCCTCGCAACTGCATAAAGTCATATTATTATAAGCGCGTGGGACACGTTAAACATTTTTAGTTGGTAGGAAATTTAACTTTTGCCCTGATGGTGGCCGAAGCCTACTCTTATCGGGATCTTTAACATGCGCAACTTGCACATGGGACCGCCAAGACTTTTCGCCCTTGTCCGAGAAGGCTAGATGTAGATCTCTACTACTATAAAATCAGGGGTGTGGCTGAAAGAGAGCCTTAAGAAGGAGCCAAAGAGTAGCTGTAGAAAGGCTACAGAAAGAGTCAGGAACCCAGAGGAGGTGGCAAAGGAGGTGGCAAAGGAGGTGAGGGGGGAAGGGCAGAAAGAGGAGACGAAAGAAGACGATAAAACTTTGTTAGAGAGCAGGAAAGGATGTGAAAGGAGAAAATTTTAGAGAAGAAAATTTTGTATGACTATCCAGATTCGAACCCGGGACCTATTGAATGAGCAGTTAACACCTTAACCTCTAGGCTGTGCATGAGCCTCCGAACGTTGTCAATTCTATAGGGGTGATAATACAGATTGTAAAGCACATAGATCTTGCTGTTCAGCCTGAATTTGCACTATACAAATGCTATCTTTCACTTGTTTGTTTGTTTGTTTGTTTGTTCGTTTATTTGTGTAAGTATGCATACCAGTATCAGGATGTAATGGGTTCTTCATCATTGCAAGTAAAAGACATGCGGGTGGTTGGAGGGCACCACAGGCAGGTCCTGCTTCTTGTCTTTGCCTCTGTTTCTGTCTGTCAATCTTTTTCTCTGCTTGCACTAAAATCTCACCCATGTGCTTTTCTTGACTTTAAAGTAGATAATAAATAAATTAATATAGATCATTTGAAAAAAAATAGGTTACTACTCGAACTTTATCGCTTGAGTTGTACAATTTATTTGTAGGCTATGAAATTTTCTTTTTAAACATGTTAAACTTGAAGAAAATTGCTTTGGTTGAAAATCTATTTATGTTATAACTTTGACCCCAATTTCAATTTTAGCCGACGTCACCATCATTTGAAGATTGCGAGAAGTATCTATTATGTCTGCATGCCTCTCAAAGAAATAAAGTTTTTTAAAAATACACTCACAATGAGACGTGACTGTTGTCCACCCAGGTTGGTTTCGGCGGGTACACGGACAACTTCCTGGGCAGTCAGGTAGACGGAGACTTGCTGCTGAGGATCACGGAAGAGGAGCTGAGGGACTCGCTCAACATGATCTGTGCTATCACACGGAAAAGGTCGGTGGCTATCTTTCGGCTCTGAGTTGTCATTTTTTGTGAGTGCCATAAAACATCTACTAAAACAAACAAACAAGAGTTGTCATTTCTCTCATCCTCGGCACTTATAGTATGACCTAATTGTGTTGCAAATGCTGAAAAAATGCTTACTGAAACAAGTTCTATCTGACATTTTCGACCGTTTTTAGTTACGAAAACCATGAGGTCAGAAACTAAATGTTCTTTCTGCCCTTTCAAAATCGTAAGATTATTCAAGGAGTCCTTTTCAAGATATTCAAAGAATTGTACTCAAAAAAGCTTGACATGTTGTAAAACTCAACATTTTTAACTTCAAATTTCTCTAAACTAGATATTGAGCAAATACAACTTTGTAATTCTGGGATAGTGATTGTGTATATCTGCATCTAAGGTGTAATGGTTAAGTTCTGTGTTGCTCGCTGAAGACCTGATTTTCGAGAGTTGGGGAGTGGAGGGGACATTTATTTTTTGGAGCATCTCTGTTTGTCTGCTTGGATGTTGTAGGATGTTGCATTCCACTCAGCCAAGGCTGGTCCTTATGTGCAGGGTCAACGTAAGCCCACCCCTGAAAAGATCTAAATTGGGGGCATACGACATTAACCTACGACATTTACATACGACACTAACAAATCAATACAAATCAACAACTTGACCATCTGTTTTCCAGATTCTTTCACAAACTGCGAGATCTGACCAATAGGGTCCACACAGCCTCCTTTTTCACAGTGCTTCAAATGAAACACAGAGAGAGAGAGAGAGGGAGAGAGAGAGAGAGAGAGAGAGAGAGAGAGAGAGAGAGAGAGAGAGAATGTTTTACGGAGTGGTTTGTTTCAGCACGTGAGACATGTATTTACTAATGTCCTGTCTTGTTGTGTGTATGCGTGAGTGCACCTAACGTTTATGTCCTGTCTTGTTGTGTGTATGCGTGAGTGCACCTAACATTTGTAACGTCTGCTGCCATTGTTTACAACCCAGACAAATTTCTCCCTGCAAGATGAATAAAGATTGTCATTGTCAATGTCATCTAAATTGTGTTGATGGGAACGTGAAATGTAAATTTACAGTCTATTCCAGGTTCCTACATACGCTGCGAGATCTAACCAGTAGGGATAACACAGCCTGCTTTTTTAACCCTTTGAGCCCTGACCTCCTGAGTCGCTACTGTAACTCTCTGCCTGAGCTCCTGAGTGATATATTCCTAACATTCATATGATCGTCAGAATCACATTCCACATCCCACTCAGGGCAGTCCATCTAATTCAGAAAGATCTTCAAAGTAATGAATTACATCCTGTGTAGTAAATGCTGTTTTCCATGCGTGTTTTGTCCCAGGCTAGTCGGGTTTGGGGATAGGGTCCCACTCACCTTTGTACCTGTGGCTGGGCATTAGGGCAGTTTTACCCCCTCAAAGGGTCAATTGGTTTGCTTTTGAGCACTAGGGGGCTATCCCGAAAAATGCTTTTTTGAGAAAATCGAAGGTAAAGTTTTTGTCCCTTGTTCAGTTTCTTTAAAAGACAAGGAGAGTTTTCCTTATAACCAAGCAAATATACATACCAATGAAACCAAACTTCTCCTATAGGTAGGGCAATGCCCACTTTTGGGTTAGGTCAAGATTTCTGGAAACCCCCGAAACCTGGCTTAGCCTGCTTGTCCTTAACCCTACCCATATGTCGTGTTTTACTATCATATCCATACGACATGGGAAACTCTGTGCCACCACTTTCCAAAGAGGAAATTTACTCATTAATCCAATCCGTACGCTTTGCATGGCAGTCTGTCAAAGTGATTTTTTGAAAAATGCTGGAAGTTTCAAAGAGATCTTCGCACTAGAAGTATTCTAAAATGTGAAGAATACACAACCCCGGGGCTACAAAATGACCCCAGGGCCTACGGATAGGGTTAAAAGTGACCAATTATCTAAATTATGTAGACGGGAACGTGGAACATAAAATTACAATCTATTCCAGGTTCTTACGAGAGCTGCGAGATTTGAAGATCTCCTCCGACTACACGTCCTGTGACCCGAGCATGCTGGGGGCGTGGCTTAGAGAGGTGGGGGAGGACATGTCCCAGTACACCTACCAGCTGCTCAACACCGGGGTGGACAGACCGCTGCTCCGGACGGTCACTGACCAGCACCTGTCTCATGACTGTGGGGTCCTCAATGGGATACACCGCATGAAGATACTCTCGAAAATTGAAGGTGAGCACTAGAGAGAGAGAGAGAGAGAGAGAGAGAAAGAGAGAGAGTGAGAGAGAGAGAGAGAGAGAGAGAGAGAGAGAGAGAGAGAGAGAGAATTACGATTAGTTTAGAGACCTTCTGTTTTAGAGGATGGTCGTTTTTCTCACATGCATGTAAAGAGGGAAAACAGGCGGGGGTGGGGAGAGGGGGGTGTGAAGGAAGGGGGCCTTGGAGACCCCAGTTGATGTTATCGTGATACATGTATTATGCAAACAGAGATTCATAGAGATACTACGTGTAGAAATGTCAACAGTTCTAGATGGGTTATGACAATTTTTCTTACATAATAATTTTGCTTGCTGGTGTGTTTCTCTTCAACTC